CTCACTCCCCTCTCTTCCAGGAATCCTCCACACCACACCCATGGCCTGCAACAACCTCTGCCGTCCCTGCGGACCCACCCCGCTGGCCAACAGCTGCAACGAGCCCTGTGCCCTGCAATGCCAGGATTCCCGTGTCATCATCAACCCTTCCCCTGTGCTTGTCACCATGCCAGGACCCATCATGACCTCCTTCCCCCAGAACACCGTCGTTGGATCCACCTCCTCGGCTGCCGTTGGTAGCGAACTCAATGCCCAGGGACAGCCCATCTCTGGTGGCTTTGGCTACGGGCTGGGAGGCCTGGGCTGCTATGGCAGAAGGGGCGGCTACATCTGCTAAGGGACCTGAGAACCACCCCTGACACCACCAACTCAGTGTGGTCACAACAGCTCTTGCCAGAAGCACCTGGGCTGATGGTTGCTCTAGTGGTACCTCACACCCAATTCATTCAGCTTCTTCTTTCCCATCATTCCTTCACTTCAATAAATTCTTCTTGCATCAAAACCTGAGTTGCCTCCTCTTTTTTTTGGAATTCCTCACACCCTCACCATGAGCAATGCCATCACTCAACCATTATGTTGGATATAAAAGGAGCAAAGGATGGTTCTTAGCAAATATCTCCCCAACAGTAACAACGAACACTGACACAGGAAACAGAGGACAAGTTGGGACCTTCCAGAACATGACACAAGCCCATCACCTGATACACCAAAGGCTTTGACACAACAATTCTCTCCTGGGCACTGCTCTGTCAAAATCATTCCATGTCGGCACACACTTGAAACATTCTCTTCCCAGCAGCACTCTTGAGTTCACCCAGCAAAGAGAGCAATAACATCATGCACTTGGGCAGCAACTCCAGAGCACAAATGATTCCAGCCCCCTTCCTCAAGCAGCCTCAAGTAAGAGTAGGGTTTCCAGGACTGTGGCCAGTGGAGATTTGGACATTAAAGAAAAGAGACCACCTTGTCTCTTACATTCAGTGACCATCCACACACACTGAAAAATTCTTGCCTCCTTTGCCCAAGGGATTCCATCCACTTTCATTTGTGCACCTGCCCCCTTTTCCTTCATGTGGGCAGTGCTGAGAACAGCTGGGCTCTCACAAACTCCTGACATCCCCCAGCTCATCCTTGTCACTTCAGAATCCCAGCTCTCTCAGTCTCTCCTCTAGCAAACATTCTCCAGCCCTGGCACTATCTGGTGGCCCTCAACTGGTCTTCGTTCACTACCCACTTTTGTGCTTCTTCACCTGTGGATGTCAGAATTGTCCACACCACTCCACATGGGATCTCACCAGGGCTCTAAAGAGAGGAATGGCCACTTTTCCCAACTTCATGACAACAAGTTTCAGAAATCTGTCTTGGACACTGGGGACATCCTTTGAAGTAAAGTTCCACTGAGACCTTGTGGTTTCTGTGTTCTCCTCCAGCTGCTTTCCAGTCTCAGCCCCAAGCATGATCTGGAGCCCAATGCCATTCCTTCCCAGATGCAGAACTTCACACTTTCCACTCTTGGAATGCAGGGGATTCCTTCCACCCCTACACTCCAGACACATCTGACTGGTGGCACAGACAAGTGTGATATCAGACACTGCACCATCTGCCAACTTGCTGAGGGGGAAACTCTCCCACTACCCACATTGAAGGGGAGAGTCCCGGTGATCACACCTGGCACAGATTCAGGGCCGGAACCAGCCTGACCAATCTGGGATACTTTTGGGCCCCTCTTCACAACACACCCATAAACCCCTGACTTCCATGGCATTGACCTCACTGGTGTCACTGCACCTCTCCAAATATTGGTTATGTCTTCAGTCCCCTTTGACACTCATCATCAACACCAGACTTTGCTCTCAAACACTCACACTTTAAAAGAAGAATGACCGCAATGGAAGGGGCAGCTCCTCATGCATGGCACAGTTGCAAAGCCCAGACCAGCCTGACATGGCTGCAATGGAATGGGGCCCCTCTGCACAACACACCCACAAACTAAACAATGCTACTGCCACAAAATGACCTCACTGATGACACCCTTACTTTTCCTCGGTTTTTGTTGTATTGTCTGGTTTTTTTGACATGCACCTTCTAAGAATATCCACCAAACACCAACTCACAATTAAAAGCTGCCACCAAGGACAGATGGGCACTGCCTCAAGAGCAGGACATGACACTGCAGAGTAGTGGGGAGGAAAATACTCCTCACATTACAATTCAGAGGTCTTTGTCAGAGGAAACTGACATTATGGTTTCCTTTCAGGTACCTCTAGTAGTTCAGCCCTCTTTTTCTCCAAAATTAATGTCTGCAGTTCCTCCAACTGCTCCTCACATGTCTTCTTTTTATCATTTACCAGCTATGTATCAACCAACACAAGACCTTGGAGGTGCTTGAGTCATCCCTAAATCACAGGAACTGCTTTCCCATCTCCAGTGGGAAATGCCTGGAATATAGAAAGGTTTAGGAATTTCTTAACCTGGCAAGGTGACAGAAACTGTGATGGAAGGGGACACCTGTCACCCCCAAAAGATCTGCATAGCCCAAATGAGCCTGACATGGCTGTTGCAGAAGAGCTTGGTGCTCTTCACCACACACCCACAAAACCATAGCACACCACTGCCATAATGATGACATCCCGCCTCTCCAAAGCTCGGGTCACGTCTTCAGCCCTCTCAGATAAACATCAACAGCAGCCTTTGGTCTCTAATACTGGCATTTAAAAGCTTCCGCCAAGGTCACGGCCTCAAAAGTCAGACATGACACTGCAGAGTTGTGGGAAGCAAAACACTCCCCACCTCAGGACTCACCAGGCCAGCAAATTGCCCCAAGGCCATGGGACAAGGCTGTCCCGCCCCTCCAGGACCAGCATAAAAGCCGACCCAGAGCCTCTCTCCCTCACACACTTCTCCTCACACCTTCTGCTCCTGCTGACAACCAGGTGAGCCTCAAATCCCTGACCCTCCTGCTCCTCCACCCCTGGCTCCTCTCTTCCTGCATGCTCAGCCCCAGCCTCAGCAGCCTTCACGCACACACAACAGCCTCCACACTCCCTCACCCTCCTGCATCACTGCCCCTTGCACCCAGCATCCCCATCCTTTCTCACTCCCTTCTCTTCCAGGGCCCCTCTTCAACGCAACCATGGCCTGCAACAGCCTCTGCCAACCCTGTGGACCCACCCCGCTGGCCAACAGCTGCAACGAGCCCTGTGCCCTGCAATGCCAGGATTCCCGCGTCATCATCAACCCTTCCCCTGTGCTGGTCACCCTGCCAGGACCCATCATGACCTCCTTCCCCCAGAACACCGTCGTCGGATCCACCTCCTCGGCTGCCGTTGGTAGCGAACTCAATGCCCAGGGACAGCCCATCTCTGGTGGCTTTGGCTTTGGCCTTGGCTACGGGCTGGGAGGCCTGGGCTGCTATGGCAGAAGGGGCAGCTACATCTGCTGAGGACCCTCAGCATCACCCCTGACACCATGATGTTGGGGTTCTGGCAAGGGTTCCTGCAAGCAATGCACCCCAGCTGATGGCTGACCTACCTGAACCTCACATTGGATCCCTTCCACTTGCTGCTCCTATTTCTTCATTCTTTGGCCTCAATAAAGTTTTCCTCCAGCAAAGCCTCAGATGCCTCCTCTTCTTATGCCAGACTTCTGCAGCTACACCCAGCACAGATATTTTGCTCCCAGGATAAATAGCTGCAATCTCTGTGATACCATCTTCACTTTCAGAGAGGTACCAGGACCACCCATGGAAGGTCCCATTTCTTTGTCCCCTCTTCCTTCCAGGGCCTTGGCTTACCAAACTTTCCAGGTGATCACACCCCTTTCTGTGAGTTCCTCAGCTGAGCCAGGTGATGGCCATTGTTGCATTGTCCATCTGGCTGCAGGGTCCCCATTCCACCTCCTAGGGAATCTCCAGGCCAGGATCTCACCTTGTTATGAGGTATTCAAGTGATCCTCGATGGAGATCCCCCTTTCCCTCCTCACTGCAAGGTCCCATTTAAGGGGGCCTCCAGACCACCCTCCTCCTGTTTAGAGTCCCTGGATCATGCGTGCTGCTGACCCCAAGCCACCAACCCTCTGCTCTGAGGTCACCAAGCATGTCCTCATTATGGCCTGACTCCCACCAAGTCACTGTGGATTCCTGAGGCACAGCATGGAGACCTGGGAACAAGATGCAGGGACAAGCCTGTGACCCTGCTAAGAAGATGGTGTCCTTTGTGCCACCCTCCTGCCTCTATGCCTCCCAATTTTGACACTCCAACACGGATTTTTGTGTTATAAAGATCTTTGGTCTCCCCAGATTGCTTCGCACCAGTGACATTCACTCTTTCTTCTCCTTTGATGTGTTTTTTTTTTTGCTGTACAAAGGCTCCCAGCAAACAGGTGAGCTCTGGGCTGACACACGAGTTCAAAGTCTCCAGGGCTTTTGGCAGCACTAAAATATTCATCAAAAGCAAATTAAAATAACATCTCTGGAGCAGCTGGAGCCCAGAGAGCTGGAGAACTCCATGCACAGCTGGATTCAGATTTGGTTCAAAGAGGAAGAGTTTGCTGAGGAACAAAGCCCTTCCCTAAAACAAAAACTAAACAGCCCCTGCATCTGAGCTGGAAAAAGAGAGCGGGAATAGGTTTGGAACTGTTTGGCCTTTTTATTTCTTGATTTAGTGTAAAGAGTGCATTTCCCCTGGTTGGCCTTGAGGCACGAACTTCAGGTAATCTTCAAGCAAAGTCTAACCCATAAAGAGACAAATTTAAGTAATCCGTGCTCTAATACTCATTCACCTTGGAGTTCATCCAGCTTGACATCAACACTTGGACAGAAACAAGAGCAGGATTTCACCTTCCCAAGGTCCTGGGACATGCCCAAGCAGCCAGACCCAGCGGGATGTCTGCCTCATCCCAAACCTGCGCCAGAGACGCTCTTTTTTGGGCACAGTCAGCTCACGTGGATTCCAGGGAACAGTGGGAGGAGACTCAGATCCATATCCACAGTGTCCTGCACCCACATTCCTCTCTCCTATCCACCCTGGGAAATCCAAGTCCCTTGGGTTTCCCCCTGTCCAGTTCTCTGCATTCCATCCAAGGAGACCCCAAGCAGGTGGGATGGGCTGGAAGAGGTGGCATCTCTTCCAGTGTCTCTCCATGGGATTCACACCCACCTAGCCAAGATTCCACTCCCAGAACAACCCCAAACCCCATCATGGAGCAGTGGCAGGTTCATCTCCCTCCTCCAGAGGACTGGACTCGACAAGATGAAATAAAAAATTATGGTGGAAAGGACATTCTTGTGCAGCAGCTGCTCCCAATCCCATGAACAGGGTTTCTTGGAATATCTGTGGCCAGCACCCCCATCCCCATCCCACTTTCCCCTCTTTGCTTTTGGATAACTCCCACTGGCAAAGGGCTGCACACTGTGGGGAGCAACCCCCAATCCCTATGGAAACTGGCACAGGAGATCCTGTGGGAAAAGGGGTCACTGCTGGTGTGCTGCTCCCTAAAAAAGAGCTTTAAAGCTGAAGTTTTAGTGGGGAAGAGATGCTTAGAGCTCTCACCTGGGCTCCTGGAGCTTGGCTGCAGCCGTAAAGCATCATCCTCAGACAGCTTCCACCTGGGATAAGCAGCACCCGGGAATCTCATACCCATCTGCCCCACTTTCCTACGAGGCACAGGGAGGGCAAAGTAGGGAGTGGGACTGGACCCAAAACCGTTCCAGAGAAATAGGTCACCCACAAGGAAGCTTTGTGACGGAACCGACGCCTCACATGAAGCAGCGGTTCTCTGACAGGACTTGGCCAAGCCACCCAAGCTGCCGGCTGGAAGGTCCTGGAATGTCCTCTGGATCATGTCACGCAGACGCCCTGCCCAGGTGAGCTAATGGGTCTGCTCTGGGCTTTGATCCTCAAATCCCAAGGCCTTGTTAGATAACATCAGAAGCCTGGGTGATATTTCATTAACAAACGAGTCTGTCCCATGTGGTCGCCGCAACTTTATCCCTTTCCCCTGTGATCTTCCCTCATGCTCCAACATTTCTTGGGTAATTAGCCCCAGAATTAGCATATTTAAGCTCCGAAATTACTACATTTAATGCAACACCGTGGTTATTCGAGTGCTGTCACAGCAGCTCTTGGCTGCGCCACCTCCCAGCAATTCCTTGGCCGAAACACGGGTTTATCCCTAATTAGTCTCCCAAAAATTGCAGGAGGCAGCAGGAAGATCTTATCCTCCCACCAGCACGTGGAAAATCTTCCTTGGCTTTTCCCCCCCATCTCTGGGAATGTTCAAGGCTACATTGGAGCAACCTGGTGTGGTCTAGTGGAAGGTGTCCTTGCCCATGGCAGGGGGTTGGAATGGGATGATTTTTATTTGTGGGAATGATTTTATTCCAACCCAAACCCTTTTATTCCATAATTTCACCGTGAAGTGAGGTGGAAGCGTGGATGTAGCTGGATCTGACTCATCCCAACATCAACGTGAGGTTTCTTCTTGCCAAACCTCAGTGCCTCGTGGAGGATGCAGGACAGACATGGAATTAGCTGGCATGGAGAAGGAGCTTCAGTGTCCATCCCTGGCTCCATGGGTGATCCTGTAAAACATCAGGTGGGAACAATACCAAGACTCCTGGGAGTGGGATTTTGGAGCTGGGAAAGGCCTGGAAGGGCTGGGCACATGCTGGGACTCAGCCAGCTGGGAGAGGGGATGGGCACTTCCAGGGGACACAGGCACAAGATAACATCTTTTAATATGCAAATGACACCCCCCAACTCCCAAGCAAGGAGGTCCCCAAGGATTCAGCCTTCCCTGAGACTTTCCCAAAGGAAAAGGGCACATTTCCAGGTCTCACCCAGGAGAAAATGAATGAAAAACTAATTTTCTATTGCTCCTCTACACTGGGGCTATCTGCTTTGGCAGAAGGAAATGTGGGAATTCCTGGCTGCGTCTCCCTAAATTCCACTTTCAAAATTTTAATTTAGAGCAAAACCCTGCCTTTGCCTCACAAAAATCCCGAAGGAAAAGCCAGCTGGAAGTGAGGGTGGAGTGGGTGCCTTCAAAACCATCCCCCACCTGCAGGAAAACTCTGCTCATTTTTAATCTCAGTTTAAGTGCATTAAAAGTGATTAAAACCTTTTCACATAGAAATCCCTTTTGATGAGCCCGTTTGCGGGGGGGGCGGGGGGGAGAACGACGACCTGGGAACCCCCTTTCCCTGCACCCCTTTCCGTGCTTCTGCACCCCTTCCCTTGCTTCTGCACCCCTTCCCATGAACCCCCTTAAAACCCCTGCATCCCCTTCCCATCCACCCTTCCCTTCACCTCCATTCCCTTCCCTGCACCCCCTTTTCCTTCAACCCCTCCTTTTCCCTGTATCTTATTTCCCCACCCGCACCCCCTTCTCTTCCCATGCACCTCTTCCTTCCTTGCACTCCCTTCCCTTATCACTCTTCCTATCCCAAAATCCCGTCTCCTGCGCCCTCTCCTTTCCCCTCCTTCCGGGCATGGACTACATTTCCCGACGAGCCAAGCGGCAGCGCCCGGTGACGGCGGCGGAAGAAGCCGAGCGCAACCGAACCGAGTAGAGCGAAGCCGAACTCAGCCGAGACTCCAATGAGCTAACTCGAGTGACCCCGAATCCAGCCGAGCCCCCAACGAGCCGAGCGGAACCGAACCTTACCGAGCCCCTACGAAGCAGAGCCGAGTACAGCCGAACACAGCCGAGCCCCCAACGAGCCGAGCCGCGTGCAGCCGAACACAGCCGAGCCCTCACCGACCCAACCCGAGCCCGCACCGAGCCGAGCGCAGCCGAACTCAACCGAGCGTAGCCGAGCGCACCCGAGTGGCCCCGAATCCAGCCGAGGGTGAGACGCGCCCCTCACCCCATTAAGGGACATTTTGGGGGACAGGAGCCCCCCCCAGGCCGGTGGGGAGGAGAAGCGGGGGGTCCCCAGAGTGCGGGGACAGGACGGTAGGGAGGGCAGGGGGACGGGAGGTTGTGGGTTGGGAGGGGAGACGCGCTTCGGGACGGGAGGGGGTGCGGGGAGATTGGGGTGCGGGGATGCAGGAGTGGGATTTGGGGTTCAGGGGAGGTGAGGGGGTTAGGACTGGGTTCAGAGCTGGGACTTGGGGTGCAGTGCTGAGGTTTGAGGGGCAAGGGAGGCGTGGGATGCAATCCTGGGTGCAGACCTGGGATTTGGGGTACAGGGGAGGTTTAGGCTGCAAACATAAGGCTTGGGGTGCAGGGGGAAATTCGGGGTTAAGGGGGAGATCCGGGGTGCAGACCCGGGGTGCAGAGGGAGATTTGGGGTACAGAAGGAGATCTGGGGTGCAGGGCGAGATTTGAGGTGCAGACACAAGACTCAGAGTTCAGGAATAGATCTGGGATGAATCCCTGGGAAGAAAGGGAGAGATTTGGGATGTGGGGGGCGATTTGGGGGTTCAGAAGGAGATTTGGGGCACGCACCTGGGGGTGCAGGTGCCCCTCCCTTTCCAGAGGCCGGGCAGTGCCACGTGGCAGGTCTGGCCCTGGCCCAGGTGGCCTCCAGCTGAGGAGTTTCAGCCCGATCACAACCAAACACACCCCTTTTTCCA